CTTCAGAGCCTGACGATGAAGGTCCGCACCAAACGTTTAATCTATTTATGGAAAAAAAATGCCCAGAAAACGGCCCACGAATCGAGCCACGTCAGGGTAGCGTGGCCGAGGGGTCTAAGGCGCTGGATTTAGGCTCCAGAAAACGGCCCACGTATCGAGCCACGTCAGGGTAGCGTGGCCGAGGGGTCTAAGGCGCTGGATTTAGGCTCCAGTCTCTTCGGGGGCGTGGGTTCGAATCCCACCGCTGCCAGCAGTGATTTTAAAGAGGGCCAGACACCTTAAGACTGCTCCGAAAAGGCGCAAAAGCGGCTGAAAATCTGCACCCTCTTGAATCAGGGACAGTAATAATGTCACTTCAAAAATGTATTTAAACATAATAATAACAAATGTCTAGTCTATAATGATGGAGTTAGCCAATTTGACTCATTGAGATTTTTTTGGTGATCTGACAGCTACCTCATGATTTTGAGTTTAACTGCGACACAGCTGGCTGCCATTTTGGAGGATGGCCCAAAGGCTTTGATTAGGTAATTCAGGTGTGTTTGATTAGAGATGGAATTGCAATCTGCAGGGAGGGGGGCCTCCAGGAGTGTAACTGCGTCCCCCTGTATTTAGGAGGCCTTTCCACCTGTCGAGGTGCTCCTTCAAGGCACGTAGAATTTCGACGGATTTAACTGTGGAGAAGAGAGACATTAAAAGAAAAAATTGGCGAAAATGGCCCACGGAAGTTGCCCTCACAAGGTAGCGTGGCAGAGCGGTGTAAGGCGCTGGATTAAGGCTCCAGTCTCTTCGGGGGTGTGGGTTCGAATCCCACCGCTGCCAAGACAGCATTTTAGAAGGCACTCGTGGCTGCTATGCCTAAGCGAAAACACTGGAGAAGTGACACTGCTTGCTCCCGGTCTCTTCCAAACCCTGCCGCTTTTGCTTTCCTTGGCCGAACTGGGCGTGCTTCAGAGCCTGACGATGAAGGTCCGCACCCAACGTTTAATCTATTTATGAAAAAAAAAAATGCCCAGAAGACGGCCCACGAATCGATCCACGTCAGGGTAGCGTGGCCGAGGGGTCTACGGCGCTGGATTTAGGCTCCAGTCTCTTCGGGGGCGGGGGTTCGAATCCCACCGCTGCCAGCAGTGATTTTAAAGAGGTCCAGACACCTTAAGTGTGCTCCGAAAAGGCGCAAAAGCGGCTGAAAATCTGCACCCTCTTGAATCAGGGACAGCAATAATGTCACTTCAAAAATGAATTTAAACATAATAATAACAAATGTCTAGTCTATAATGATGGAGTTAGCCAATTTGACTCATTTAGATTTTTTCGGTGATCTGACAGCTACCTCATGATTTTGAGTTTAACTGCGACACAGCTGGCTGCCATTTTGGAGGATGGCCCAAAGGCTTTGATTAGGTAATTCAGGTGTGTTTGATTAGAGATGGAATTGCAATCTGCAGGGAGGGGGGCCTCCAGGAGTGTAACTGCGTCCCCCCTGTATTTAGGAGGCCTTTCCACCTGTCGAGGTGCTCCTTCAAGGCACGTAGAATTTCGACGGATTTAACTGTGGAGAAGAGAGACATTAAAAGAAAAAATTGGCGAAAATGGCCCACGGAAGGTGCCCTCACAAGGTAGCGTGGCCGAGCGGTCTAAGGGGCTGGGTCTAAGGCGCAAAAGCGGCTGAAAATCTGCACCCTCTTGAATCAGGGACAGCAATAATGTCACTTCAAAAATGAATTTAAACATAATAATAACAAATGTCTAGTCTATAATGATGGAGTTAGCCAATTTGACTCATTGAGATTTTTTTGGTGATCTGACAGCTACCTCATGATTTTGAGTTTAACTGCGACACAGCTGGCTGCCATTTTGGCCGAAAATGCCGAAAAAGTGGCCAAAACCGACATGCCTGCAAATGGCCCGTGGGACGGCCCCTGTACGCAGACGGAGGGTCGTGGCACCCCGGGACTTTGGATTCCGACTCTCCAGGGGCCCCTGACGCGGGGCCCCGAATCCTGGAACTCGAGGGCCTTTGCAAAAAATCGCCCCTCCCCCGCCATCAAATCATTTAAAGGCCTGAAAGGCTCTTTCAGTGTGAGAGTGAAACAGCCTCGAGGGAGAGATTTTGCATAGAGGCTAAAATATATTTGCCTTTACTCTAGGGCCCGGTGCTTTCGGTACGTCGCTCGGGGCGGGCCCAGGGGTCACCGTGCCGAATTTGGGGCCCCTGGGACCTTTCCATGAAAATCCCACTCGCCCATTAAATGAATCACCACAACGGTTTCGCGGACTTCGCTTAGAAACGTCCGATCGACTAGGGCAGTGGTTCCCAAAGTAGGGGTCGCGACCCCCCGGGGGGGCGTGAGACAGCGAGGGGGTGTCGCGAGATGATTTCCAAGGGACCGTTCGGTATTTATGGAAAGGTCCACCGGAGGAAAATAGGGGAGGGTGTATTTTTATTCTTTGTTGAGGGGAGGGTCATTCAACTTTTTGTATCCATGAAAACAGCAAAATTTCAAATATTTTTTCCATGTAGCTTTGTAGCTCTCTCGGTCTCGGTTCCCCATCGCTATCAGATGGGTCTCCCAACAAAAATCCAGTTTAGCGCTGTCTGACAGTGCGCGCTCAGAAAAAGTACATCATGTACAGAACGCCAATGAAATGTTTACCTGGCATAGCTTTAAAGCACGATTTAATAATTAACTTTTGTGATTACGAATAAGTGCAGTGTCCTGTGAGTGTAACTCTACCGCTGCATTAACATGTGATATGAATGTACGTTGAGTGTTTGAGTGTATTGGGACTGAAGCGCCAGAACTGCAGCTGATATAATGTGCGCTGTAGCACGATACTTCCATATTTTAGTTTCCATTCTTATTGTGTTTCCACAACAATGTTAGTGAGTAAATACTGAAATTGCCACCATAACAGTGGAGTGTGATGTGACGTAGGGCTATCACATTTTTAAATTACTATTAGTATTATTTGAAGTTAAAATAATCGGAAATACGCAGACCTACACCAAAGAACTATTTGAGGATAAATTATTTAAAATTGGGCAATTCCAGCGTTATGGACGTGACATTTGCAGTCAAAACTTGAAATATAAATGATCAGAAAATGTATTTAATACTGAAACGTCTGTTTATATAGGCTATCCATACCCCCAAAGGAGTCAAGACATTAGAAAAATATCAGTCTACACATGCGTTTTATATTTAATATGAGCGAAATACACATGTGACGTGACACAAAAAATCTTTAACTTTTATGTGGCAAAATATTTTTTAATAATTCTACGAATTACACTGAATTACACAAAACAAAAGTACGCTAATAACCGGATGAAGAAGGGTCGGCCTCCACAGAACATAAAATATCCTTTATTTTATTTTATTTTTCGTGTTCGCATTTATGAGGAAAAAAACAATACGGACGTGACAGTTCTCCGTTTCGGACATGACCGCTCTGAAAGCGACTTTAAAACTTCCACAGAGACTTCAGAAAGCACAAAGCCTTTCTTTAAAGTAAATTTCGTTTTTTATTAATTGTATCTAAATTTTAATTAATGTTTCATCAACCAATTACCTGGATTAATGAATAAGAAGTAAATATAGTAGAAAATAGATCATCATGACATGGAGTCGCCGGCGCGTGAACTGGACTCTTTCTCATGAACCGAAACTCAGCGTATAATGTAGCTACTTGCCTCACAGAATTGAGAAATATATAGAAAGCTTGATGTCAACTTTTAAACAGAACATTTAAAAACGAAAAACAGACTGCTCTCTGCTTATGTAATCCGTATGAAATCTGCATTTCTCTCTGGCGCCTTACTGTGAAGATGGCGAGTCAGCATCGTGAAATTCATCTTGAAGCCGACACACTGACACAGAAAAACCTTGTTTATTAATAAACAATTAATATCTCTCCCTGCTATACTATTTGACATATTCATAATCATTACTTTTGCCGGTTCTTTGTGGCAGCTTTTAGATACTTTATTGGGAGCGCCACCCTTGTTACATGAACGCGTCACCACTGCATCAGCACCGAAAACATGATTTTTCTTCTTTTTTTTTAAATCTAAAATAAAAAATCATGATACGAACCGAGTTGTAGGTTTGGTCCATCGTTACAGCCTTAGTAAAACGAGAAAGTAGGAGTTTAGTCGTTTGTCATTTTGTAAAAAAAAAACAATGGCTATCTGAGCATCTTTGCCAACCGCAAACCAGCAATCAATAAATTATCGGGGAGGGTCATGCCTTTTTCACAATCATTTTGGAGGGTCATGGAAAAATGTATTACTGGCGAAGGGAGGGTCAAGTTTTTTTACTACAGATCTCAAAACTCCTCCGGTGGCCCCTTAAATAAAAAACGAACAGTCCCTAAATAAAAAAAAATAATAGGCTAAAAAAAAAAATTATATATATATATATATATATATATATATATATATATATATATATAACGATTAGAAATAGCATATTGTATCCATAATTGTAACAAAATACAAAAAAATAGTTGTTAAATAAAAAAAACAAAAAAAAAAAACATACAAATAAAAAAAAAGCCGTTGGTCCTGAGCCTGAGGTGATGACGAGAGATTAACGACAATTAGCGGTCACTTTACTACAGCACCAAGATAAACAGTCTTTCTGACACGTAGCGCAAGGTATTTTTTTAGGTTTAAGTATAGGATAATATTGTTTTCGAAATGAAACGTTGGTTAATATCGACCAAAGACAACAAAGGAAGGCCAGCAGAGGTGCCAGTGGAGGAGAGTGGAGAAGTAGGCCTACCACCGTCGGAAATGCCATCGACCTCAGATACGGAAAGAGGCCGGCGTGTGCATAAAGAGCACATCCATCAGCAGTCGGATCAGCCTTCCTCCAAGTGTCGAAAGTATCGAGACGAATTTATCCAGTATGGATTCACATGCGTCATCATCAACGAAGTACAACATCCCCAGTGTGTGCACATGAAAGCCTAAAGCCTGTAAAAATGCTACGACACTTGAAAACCAAGCACCCCTCTCTTGCTGCTAAACCAGTAGATTTTTTCCGACGAAAGGAGCGAGAGTTGCAAGGCCAAAAGAAAGTTCTAACTAAACAAACAACAATCCCTGCCAAAGCTCAACAGGCATCATATGAGGTGGCATATTTAATTGCACTGGCAAAAAAGCCACACACGATCGGTGAAACCCTTATCAAACCCGCTGCTATAGCAATAAGTCGGGCTATGCATGGGGATAAACTGGCCCGTGAGCTAGAAGCAGTGCCTCTGTCTAACGGGACTATTGCCCGGCGCATCTCCGACATGGCCCAGGACATAAAGTGTCAGCTGGTGGACAGAGTGAAGAAAGGGAAATATGCTTTACAATTAGATGAATCCACAGATGTATCAAACTCTCCCCAGCTGCTTGTATTCGTCAGATACAGTTTTGACGGAAAACTTAACGAGGACATTCTGTTTTGCACCGCGCTTGAGGGAACGTGCACAGGCGAGGACATTTTCACAAAAGTTGACAACAAACTAAAAGAAGAGGGACTGTCTTGGGGTGAGTGCATCGGTGTGTGTACAGATGGTGCTGGAGCGATGCTGGGGAAAAAGAAAGGTCTTAAAGCAAGAGTCTTGCAAGTGGCGCCTCACATAAATTTCACGCATTGCATTATACACAGAGAAGCTCTTGCGAGCAAAACCCTTGACCCAGAACTTAAACGTGTTCTTGAAACCGCGATAAAAATTGTCAACTACATAAAAGCGCGTCCACTCAATATCAGGCTGTTTGCCACTCTCTGTCACGAACTGGGATCGGAGCATGAGTGCTTGCTGCTCCACACAGAAGTCAGGTAGCTTTCGCGAGGGAATGTGCTCAGCCGCCTGTTTGAGCTGCGGGACGAAGTGCGCTTATTTCTGATGGAGCATGCGTCCCAGCTCGCTGACCACCTCACTGATCCTGACTGGTTAACAAGGCTAGCGTATTTGTCTTGCATATTTGAAAAACTGAATGGCCTTAATATGTCATTGCAAGGTGAAAACACAAGCATCATGTCACTGAATGATAAAATCTACGCATTCACGAGAAAACTTGAGCGCTGGACTGAGCGAGTTGAAATGGGTAGGATTGAGATGTTTTCTGAGCTGGACGAATTCATTGAGGAAAATGAACTGAGTGTTAACATAGTGATGAAGTCTATCACTACTCACCTTCAATCCCTACTGGAACACTTCAACAAATATTTCCCAAAGGAAACAGCTCCAGAACAATATGACTGGGTAAGATCACCGTTCACTGTAACAAGGGCTAATCATCTGACATCCAACCTGGAGGACGCATTGGTTGAACTGTCAAGCGACCGAACCTTAAAAACAGCGTTTAATTCCAAGACGCTGGCTGAGTTCTGGATTTCTGTCGAGAAGGAATACCCACAGCTATCCAAGGCCGCTATGGATGTACTGATGCCTTTTGGCACTACCTACTTGTGCGAAAAGACTTTCTCGGCACTCACGTACATTAAAAATAAACACAGATCGCGACTGAATGTGGAGGATGAACTCCGAGTGGCGGTCTCCAAAATTAAACCAAGAATGGACTTGCTGTGCTCCAAGCATTGTGCCCATCCATCTCATTAGGAGATGGTAGGCTAATATTTAAATGAAAGTAATGAGTAAATTACTATAAAACAGTATTATAGTTTGATTGTTGTGTTCTTTTTTGTTGTAAACATGCTCGTGTTTAGATAGGCCTATTTGTGCGTGTGCGCCTTTGTGCGCAACGATATTGTGCCCATCCATCTCATTAGGAGATGTTAGGCTAATATTTAAATGAAAGTAATGAGTAAATTACTATAAAACAATATTAGAGTTGTTTGATTGTTGTGTTCATTTTTTTGTTGTAAACATGCTCGTTTTTAGATAGGCCTATTTGTGCGTGTGCGCCGTTGTGCGCAACGATATTGTGCCCATCCATCTCATTAGGAGATGTTAATATTTAAGTAAGGAATAATTGACGACAGGCCGTTGAATTATTAGAAAAATAGTGCACACTCGAGCTAATAGGCTAAATGAAACACAAAGCCCTTTTAACAAGTAGGCCTATCAATAATTGTTTATTTGTTATAGAATAATAACGAAAACCCGTGCAGTTTAATTTTTATTAAAATTAAACTGCATGTGTCCATTTATTGTGAAGTTAGACATTAAAAAATTGCAGATCAAGCTCATGGGGCTGCATGTTTTTTCTTGTTATGAATTGTACCCTATTTTCCGTTATTACAGTTATTACTACGCGCAGTGATATGGAACTGTAATGCGGTCAAAACTACTTTAGCCGTGCGTTTCCCTGAAAATAATTGCACACCTTATAACGTTCTCAACCAATCAGAATCAAGCATGTAACAGCCCTGTAGTATAATATAAAATAATATAATGGTTGTTTTGACTGTTGTGTTCTTCTGTGTTGTAAGTATGCCTATTAGTGCGTGTGCACAGTTTCACGCAATGTTTGTATACTTTAACCACCTCCGAGGATAGTAGGGGTCGCGAGTCACTCGCACCTTTATTTTGGGGGTCGTGGGCTGAAAAGTTTGGGAACCCCTGGACTAGGGGACGCCATTTTCCTTCTCGCCACGGCCCCCTGGTGCGGCCCTAAAAGTTTGGTGGCCCTGGGGCCTCGTTCGGCGGTCGAAAGGGTGAAAAACACGTCACGGGGTCAAAAAGGTCAAACCGACGGAACGCGCTCCCGTGAGGAGACGGAAGGTCGCAGGAGCCCGAAACTCGGCGAGTTCCGTCGTCTCCCGTCCCTAAATGGGGCCCCCGAGTTTGAGGGCCCTAGCCGCTTTCTAAGCGTTTCCCAACCCCCGTTTGTGATGAGGCCATTGATTGTGCTTGGTGACTGATGTGAGCAGCGACGTATTAATTTTTGGTGATGTCCCACTGGGTCCTACGGACACCAAAATTGTATCTCGTTTAGAGGGGGACGAGACCTTTACTTTGAGACCACCCACGGCCCCGTGGGCCCCCGGGGGCCAGAGATGGAGATGAAAATACACATTTATCTAAGCGAAAACGCAACGGATCCGGCCGTGGCTGGGCTCTTTGGAACCGTCTAGTTGAGCTGAAAAGAATGATAAAAAATTATGAATTTTGGCCGTGTTTTCGCGGAGATATTAGCCGAAAACCGTCGGGCGCGTTCTAAAATGGCGCCCGCTGATGACGTCACGATCTCGGGAACAAAATCGCTCATATCTCGGGAACGCGAAGACCCAGAGAGCTCAAATTGGGGTGAGGAGGTCCCACGGGGGCCCCGACTCGAACCAGGGCGATGGCGGGCCGCGGGGACGCCCCCTAGTGGTTCGCCGTTCGCTGGGTCCCCCGACTTTGAACGGCTATAACTCGGGGACCCGGGCGAGTTGGACCTCGGGGGTGGGCTCATTCGAAAGGGCCCGTCCAGCACTACAATCTATTAGAGTTTGGGGAACATTGAGCCAGGGGTTCTCGAGATATAAGCCGACAAAGCTGCGACTTTGACCGGACGTAACTCCCAGGCCCCGAGGCCCTCGGGGACGGGGGTGGGCTCATTGGATAGGGCTCCTCGAGGCCTACAGACGACCCGAGTTTGAAATTTTTTCGCCGTGTGGTTTTTGAGATATTCGAGAAAAACAAACATTCCCATACGTTCAGTGGTTAAATGGCTGTCACCCATGTCTCCAACGGGACTTCCAGATGATTAAAAACTACTTTTTCAGGCCCAACCACCTCTACTGTACTAAGCACACTCCACTGAACACATCTCACTAATTTTCAAGTCATTTCAGTGTTTAGTTTGCATTAAAATGGGTGTCCTTGAAACCACGTTTTGGTACTGTGATAAATGCTACGTGGGATGGGACACATTTTCTGTGAAACACATATTAATGAAAGTTCCAAATCATGATAAAAACTATTTTACTGCACTCAGGGGCCCCCCTTGAGTCCGTAGCACCAAGTCCCATCCCATAATTCCACTGACCACGAACCCATTATTTTTTTATAATGTAATAAATGCAACGTGGGATGTCCATAGCTCTGGTCAGGAAGGGTCTAGAGCCTCCATTTTTGCACTCAGGTCTAAGTCTCATCACCCTCTAACAGAATCCAGAGTTTCAAGAAGATTGGAGAAACCTTTTTTTCCGACCCGAAAAAACCGACAGGGATATAACATATACACATACCCCCTGTCGGTTTTTTCGGGTCGAGATTTTGAGTTTCTCCAATCTTCTTGAAACTCTGGATTCTGTTAGAGGGTGATGGGACTTAGACCTGAGTGCAAAAATGGAGGCTCTAGACCCTTCCTGACCAGAGCTATGGACATCCCACGTAGCATTTGTTCCATTGTAAAAATAGTGGTTTCGCGGTCAGTGGAATTATGGGATGAGACTTGGTGCTACGGACTCAGGGGAGGCCCCTGAGTGCAGTAAAATGGTTTTCATCATGACAGCAACTTTAATTCAAATGTCTATCAGAGAAACTCTCTGAATCCCCATTCAATCGATGGCACGTGGGATTCTGTCCGATTGCAGCTTGTTGAATGAAGGGCGGGGTTAGTATTTTACAAAAATAGTGGGTTATTGGACAAATAGTGGCTTCTTGGGATGATCCCACGTAGCATTTATTCCATTGTACCAAATATAGGCTTCGCGGACAGTTGCTCTACCCGGCTTAGTTCTTAGCACTTTTTGACCGGGCATAACTCAGGAACCAAGCCGACTTTGGGCTCCATACTCTGGGGTCCTGGGGGGCCCATGGGTACCTTTACACACCCAGAGTTTGGAGCTCCAAGTCGGCTTGGTTCCCGAGATACACCCAGTCAAACCTGGAAAGGAAGTGGCCGTATCTCGGAACCAGAAGGACCTAGGAGCTGGGGACGGTGGGGTCTGAAGGGGACCCATGGGCCCTCCCCACACCAAGAGTTTGGAGCCCAAACTCGGCTTGGTTCCCGAGATAAATCCGGTCAAAGCTGGAAAGGAAGTGGCCGTATCTCGGAACCAGAAGGACCTAGGAGCTGGGGACGGTGGGGTCTGAAGGGGACCCATCGGCCCTCCCCACACCCCGAGTTTGGAGCTCGAACTCGGCTTTGTTCCCGAGATACACCCGGTCAAAGCTGGACAGGAAGTTGCCGTATCTCGGAACCGGAAGGACCTAGAAGCTGGGGACGGTGGGTTCCGAAGGGACCTAAAGGGCCCTACTCACACCCGGAGTTTGGAGCTCCAACTCGGCTCCACCCCCAAGATACACCCACTTATACATAAGGGTCTTTTGGACAAAACGGTCAATATCTCGGAAATGACGAGTCCCAGCGGATCGTCCTTTGGGGTGGTGAGGGGTCACTAGGGGCCCTCTCAGACCCCAGAGTCCCGAGCCTCTGGGACCCTTCCTTCTGAAGTGCACCCTTTTCTGTTGGGCCCCGTATCTCGGACCGTGGGGGAGCTAGAAGCACGGGCTAGGGCGCGTGATGGGGGGGCATTTCCGCCATATAGTGGGTTATTGGACAAAAAGTGGGTTAGTGGGACGGGGGTGGGGGGGGTCTGGTCACTCTAGTGGTCAATCGGACAAATAATGGGTTAGCGGGACGGGGCACGTGTGGCGCCCCACCAAGGACGAAGGCAGAACTGCTTGGGTAGGCCTCGGGCTTCGGGTCACTCCCGTCGGGCCCCTGAGGGGGTCGGGTCACCCCGACCCTGCCCGCGTGGGTCGGGCGCCCGGGGAGGGTCGGCCTGCGGCGTCGGCCGACCCCCCAAAAATTTCGGGGGGTCAGCGCGCTCGTCCGCCAACCCCCGTCCTAATCGCCGCGCCCCGTTTACTGAATGGACGCT